GGTCCAACCATGGACATTGCGCCTTACTCAAGATCCCCCACAATAGTAACTAACAGAGTTGGGATTCAAAGATAGGCCCTCTGATTTGGAACTTGGTGTTTTTTGTACTCTGCCATACCAGCAGTAAACACAGATGTGCCCTGCAGGGATAGGAAAGGCCTCGTAAATGTTAATTGGGCACACAAGACACGACAAACAGTGTCTGCTATTGCCAGGCATTGTACTAAGCACTGAAGACACAAAGAAAAGGTCTTGCCCTCAGCGAGCTCCCAGTCTAAAGGGGGAACACATAAAAGAAGCTGCTAAGCTAGGGGGTGGAGTGGAGATGGAGGCTGTCTGGCACTGGGGCAGGACGAAGTCCTACAACCAGGTGGGAAATGCAAAGGGAGGGAGGAGCCCCAGGGGCAGGGAATACTGAGGAGGTATGTGTCAGAGCCCATAGCATCTAATCACTGACCTGCTTTCTCTTGGTGTTAGACCTGCTGGGCCAAGACCACTACAAATGTGGCAACAGACAAATCAGATATAATAAAGTAATACGTATGGGACGGATTCCCCTTCCTGCAGGTGAAGATGCCCAGCAGAGCTTGACAGCTATAATGATGATTGACTGATTGATGATGTTCTCTCCTCTTCATCAGAGTCCTCTATAACTACCTCACCAACCACCTGGTAGCCCACATCAGAGAACACAACCTAGAGAAACTTCCATCCTGGGGCCCCAATCTCCTGATAGGTGACTCCCCAGAACACTGTTGTAGGAAAGGCTTGATTCCTAAAACTGCATTCCCTCCTCTTTGGCTTCCCCAGGCTCCTCAACCACGTCTTCCCACCCCCTATAGGTCTAGACCCATGAACCATGATCACATCAACTCTGCCACTGACCTTGGATTGGGTTTTCCCATCTAGTACCCCAAATTTGCTCTACATTGCTGTAACTTTCCAATGGTAGTGGCCATCTGTAAGCTCCTTGAAGGCAGTGACAACTTTTGCTCTGTGTTTTCATCCCTAGTACCTAGCACAGTACTTGGTACATAATAAGAGCTTAATAAAAGCCTTTTCATACATTCCTACTAAGGACTTTTCTCACAACAACTTTGTGAAGTGGGTAATTGCAAGCATCCTCAATTGACAGATGAGGAAGTTGAGGCTCAGAAAGGTTAAGTGATTTGGCCATAGTAACAGAGGTTGTTCATATTAAAGCCAAGATTCAAACTGAGTTTTTCAGACCCCCCCCTTTTTTTCCAATACCCCTAGGTATCCAGACTGCCAGAACTGTGCCATGCCCCAGTCATGAAAGTATCACTTGATTCCTCTTATCCCCAAGATGCGTAATCCCTCTGGTCGAAAGCTCAACTCCACCATTGTACACTGCTCCCACACCAATTACATGTACTAGACATACCCATTCCTTGCCTTACATTGGGCTGAAACACCATTGCTGGCCCAGTGCAGTGGCATGCAGCATGTCCCTTCTGGCTACAGCTACTAGGCAACAGAGTTTCCCTCAGCCACTTTAACCGTCCAGGAAATTCTCTGGTTTCACTTTAAAAAGGTCATCTGTCCTTGATCCAAAACAACAGTTTTGAAAGCAAGAGGGAAGAGTACTATCCTTGATTAGAAAATGCAGCTCACATCCCATGGAAGTATACCCATTTATTGGGAAAGGAAACAAAGGGATGGTCTTCTCTGTATTCTGGTTTGCAAAGTACAGTAGATTGATAGAAAAAGCACATTTGCTCCTCTGAATTCTGGGAAGGTCTCCAAGACAGGACTAACAATGAAAAAGAATATCTTACAAACAATCAAACCCATAACTCATTGCACTTCAAAGAACTATAGCTTCTTATTAAACTCTCTCTGCCCTCCTCTCAAATCTCCCTTATCTCTTTCTTCCCTCCCATTTTTCATCTTCACATGCTGCTTCCCTTCATCAACTCATTTTTTTTCCTAATGCATTCTGCTCAGGACTCTCGCCTTCAAGAATGAGTGACTATATCTACTGACAAGCATCTCAGCCCATAACTCTCTCTTGATAGTTGCTAGTTGGCCCTGTCTCCAGCCTGCTATGTGCTTAAAAAAAATAGTTGAAGAAGCCGACAGTGAGCCCTGGTATGAATTTCTTTAGTTCTTCTGATAGATATGACAGTGTGTTGTTTCACCTGTTGGGGGATAGGAAAATGTCATCTAAGAGAGGAGAAACTGAAGTAAGTTGGGGCTTTTGTCACAGAAAAAAATCATAACTGGAAACCATAGGGTGATAAGCTTCAGAGCTGGAAGCCTTAGATGCCATTTAGACCAACCCTCTTTATTTTATTGATGAGGAAACCAGGGCTTATAGAGGTAAAGGAACTTGGCCCTGGGTCAAGCAAGGAGTGACAGAGCTGAGATTTGAGCCCGGGTCCTCCCAACTACAAATCCAAGGTCCCTTCTACACAACCATGCTGCCTGCCTCCCTTCAGTCATTACAGTTTCCATTTGGAATGACTTAGCCCCATGAATGTTGAGCAGCAGTACCAATACTGAATGGGAGGGAAATGAAGGAGTTTGGTCAAACAGATTCTTCCATCTCTTCCAGCTCTAAATCTGTTATTCCAATATGATTGTGTAGTTCATATTTCTATAACAATATGCTACAATATATAAAGCAAGTTTCCTCCCAACAATCCCGTGAAGGAGGTGATACAAACGTTATTAGCCGCACTTTACAGAAGATGAAACTGAGTAACTCAGAGGACTTGCCCATGATCACATGACTAGTGAGGGTCGGAACTTGAAATTGATCTCAGGTCTTCTGGCTTCAAGAGTAACTGGTAATTCCCATGCTATGGGAACTCAGCTGTCACCTGAGAAAAAATCACTGGCAACTCTAATCTTTGCTCAGGTTTTAAATTCTTCTCAAACTAGCCCAGAGTCTCCCATATGATTATCACTGTGTCCACTCTGGGGAGGTCAGGCTTTAAAGGAATAGCAGTTACACTCTGAGATCCCAGCATCTTATCTGTGGGATTTGTGTTACAGGATTGCGTATGAGAGGGTGGATCAGACAAAGAGAGAGCCAACATATCAGTTTTTAGTTGAGTATCCTGAAGGCCATCCTCCAGCATGCCTCGGATCCATCTGTGGCCTGTGACCACTTCATTCCTTGATTAGAGCTGACAGATTTGTAATGAAAAGTCCGACTGAGGTTTCATGATTTGCATTTGACCTCATCAAAACTTTTCTGCAAAGGGTTGTTTTCCCTTCCTTGCTGCTGTTTTCTTTCACTCCTGTATCTTCTTTAAGGTAGATAGTTGCTCTAGAATATAATATGGGCCAATTGTGGAGACCTAATATCACAAATTAACCCACTGATTATAATGATTTGGTGGGTACAATATGTCTAGCTCCAGGGATCACATCAGACCTTTGGGTTCAATCATCATTGCCGTCTACTTGAGAGAGCAAAAACCAGGGATAAGAATGTTTAGGTTTCCGTTGTACTTCAATATTTACAAATAACCCAATGAAGCAGGAAGTAAAAAAAATTCTAAGTCCCCATTTTTCACATGAAGAAACTGAGGCACAGAGGGCCTCAAAGTAACTCACCTGTGGTTATATAGCTAGGAGATGGTACGACTCAGTCAGGAATATGGGGCTTTCACTTTCAGTCTCATGCTTTTCCCATCAAACTATAGTGCACTGATCCAGTTCTATCCATGTTGGGAAACTACTTCCTTTTTTCCTGATGACTAGAAACATCATAGAATTAGGAGATAGGTCAATGTACTAGGCATCAGGAAAACATGGTTTCAACTCCTATCTCAGACACTTATTGCTATATGACCCTAGGCAAGTCATTTTTCCTCTGTGTGCCTTAGTTCACTCATCTGTAAAATGAAGGAGTTGGACTACGGTTTGATGGCCCCAAATCCGTGATCCTTCCACCCAATGTTTGAGATTTTTAGCAATGAATACTAAATATTAATTTATTTAAATATACACATATGTATAATTTTAGATCATCAATCACAATCACTATTTCTCAACAAAAGAAAGCCTTTTATTTTCTCAACAAAGGCTCTGTCCTTTTAAGAAGTGAGACAAGACATAGAGAAATACAGGCAATTGTATTGATTGACCTTTGCAATAGAAGAATGGAAAGTTGAGTAGGCCACAAGATTGACTTGTTTTAGAGAATAGTGTATCCAAACGTGACATGATAAGTGTTTTCTCATATTTTGATTATTTAAAATCTTTGGGCTTACTGAGTGACTCATTTGATGTCTTGGTTAGTTTTGTTGAACTAGTTGTTTCGTTTTTCTTTTGAAATCTCCCTTATTCTTTTAAAAATGACAGGGGATGGCTCTCTGAATGAGGGAAGAGCAGGGATATATTTAGCAATGAAGATGATGTGAACACAAAAGATATCAAACTAGGTTTTTTTTTCATCTTAGGGCTACGAGTCAAAGGGAAAGATGAGGCAGTTTGGTCCTGGTCATTCCTATAAGTCCAGCCATTCTCTTGCTGTTTAAGTTTATGCTTATGTCAGAGCTTTCTGATTAGGCTGGTGACATTGGTCCAGAGGTCAAATGAATGGGCAGAGAAGTCAGACTCAGTATTCCCTGAGCCAGGCAAAACTCATCACATAATGTTGCCTAGCAACCCCTGCTCTAGATCCCAAGGATCAAGAACACATCGGAACCTGAGCGTTGCTGTACACATTTTCTTGGAACAACATAGTACTACCATTGAGGGCAAAATGCTATGGGTCTGCCAGGGTTCTTCTGGATCCCCTATACGCCTCTTCTTCAAAGGCAGTGTTTCTGGTAGTTTATGTTGACAGTGAGTGTGTCCCAAGGGGATTCGGCAATGGAGCAAGGATACTTTTTGAGGAGCTGTGATCTTGATCTTTCAGGAGCATCCTAGGTTCTACCTTTCCTGCATTACCCTCCCCGCCCCACTCCAACCTGCAACCCAGAACCCACGCCAACTTGCATTTTGTCTCCCTTTTCCTTCAGGTTTCTTCTGATGATGGGCGTTCTCTTCTGCTGTGGAGCTGGTTTCTTCATTCGCAGGAGGATGTACCCTCCACCACTAGTCGAAGAACCAACATTTAATGTATCCTACACCAGGCAGCCCGCTAACCCAACAGCAGGTCAGCCAACAGCTGTCACTGTCATGTTCCCTTTTACTTTGAGTGTGTGCATTTCATTCACCTTGTGTGGCATCAGTAGGGCTTGTAGGAAGATGCTGCTGCAGAACACATACACACACATACACATATACACACACAATCACACACAATGAATATAAATTCAAGCTTAATCTTTTAACACTTCCTAGCAGATAGTGGTTGGAAAGTTATTTCATGGCATGATTTTTCTCATATAAAGGGGAAAATGACTATGGCCCCCAGTGAATGCCCAGCTCTTTCCCAGGAATAAAGGAAGAGGGCATATGAATTCATGTAGGAAAAACTTGCTTTTGTGTGTTCACACAAACTTGGTTTAATATTTTTTGGATCCATGTGAAAGCTGGTTTACTCTTCCCTCTGACTCTTGCAGTCAGTCAGTCAGTCAACTAGCACCTACTATGTGCTAGGCACTGTGCTAAGTGTTAGGGATTGAAAATAAGGCAAAAGACAGTCCCTGCTTTCAAGGAAATGGCACACCATTCTAGTGTCTTTGCCAAGAACACCCTAAATGGGGTCACAAAGAGTCAGATATGACTGAAAACGACTAAGCCACAAAGTTCCAAGGAGTTCACAGTTATGTGGGGGAGACAGCATGCAAACAGCTGTAGGAGGCATTAAGAGGAAAGGCATTAAGGGGGATCAGGAAGGACTTCTCATAGAAGGTGGGATTTTAGCTGGCACTTGAAAAAGGAGGTAGAGGTGAGAAGGGTCAGGCATGAGGAACGTTATTGAAAATGCCCACAGTCAGGAAACGGAGTGTTATGCAAGAGCGGCAATGAAGCCAGTGTCACTGGGGAGGAGAAAGGGTGATGGCCTCTACTCAACAGCGAATATGAATTCACATGCGATGCAAAGAACATCTTTACTGGAATTTAATTCATTCAGTGTCTCTGTTTGCAGAACTTTCTGGCACTATGTCTAAAACATGATTCTCCCATGGAACTATGGTCACTATCATGATAAATACTCTTGGGTAGATCAAATCCTACAGGTCAAAAGGAAATGTGGGAAACAATGTGGATATTCCAGCAAACATAGATTTATTTATCCATTCATTCGTTCATTACCAAATACCTTATACATTACTCCTCAAGGTCAAAAGGAAGTGTTGGGAAACAATCTGGATATTGCAGGAGGCATAGATTTAGTTGTCTGTTCATTTATTCATTCACTTATTCACATTTAATTACCACATACCTTATATATAACTTTTCAAGGTCAAAAGGAAATGTTGGGAAACAATGTGGATATTGCAGCAAGTGTAAATTTATTTGTCCATTCATTCATTCATTTACATTTAGTTACCAAATATCTTATACTTAACTTCTCAGTGCTCCAAGAAACTCTGTTAAAACTAAGTTACAATTGCTGATCTACATTGGTGGGGAGAATCCCCATAAAGAGAGTTCTTGGCACTGACTTAAATTAGAGATCTTCCCCATCTAAAAAATAAATCCCACATAAACTTGTACAAAAGTTTTTACCAAGAGGAAAACAAAATGTGTGATCTAGTCCATATGAATGTCCATTACACACTGGAGAACGTGGAGAAGATGTTGGTGCCATCATTCAACCAATTTCCCCTCTTCAGAACTCTGGAATAATCTTTGGCTCTTCTCACCTTCACTTCTCATCTTAAGTGATCAATAATTCCTGTCAATTTCACCTCTATAATGCCTACTGCATACATTCCCTTCTATCTGTTCCCCCTCTCCCCATGTCACCTGCCATTATCCAAGGTCCTCACTACCACCCACCTCAGCTATTGCAGTAGCCATAATAGCCACTCCTGCCTCAACTGTCTCCACTATCTAGTCCATTCTTTATAATCCAGTAGTATGTAAACCTCCTGGGGGCAGGGTCTGTTTCATTTTTTTCCTTCATGTTGCTACGAAGCACAGATTTATGACCAGCAGCTGCTATCCTAGTCTAAGCCACCTGAGATAGGGAACGTGTCCTAAAGCAGAGGTAGTTATAACTAGACAGCAGTGTAATATACATCCATCTTATATATCCACATTTCTCGGTAACCTAGCCCCTGTTCTCATCAATCTCGAAGGCTTATTTTGCCAAGAAATATTTCTTGCTTGTGTCCTGGACTAGTTTAGGTACTTGGTTAAAATGGAGTTCAGGGACCTTACCACTAAGTCCTTACTTAGCCTGACATTTTAAGCTCCTCCTCTCCTCCCGGCCTGATTCTAAACTAACTTTTCAGCCTTATTTATTATTCTAATTTTCCAGCCAAACTGAATTATTCAATTTCTTTAGAATTTGTTCTGTACTTTCCCACCTCCTATCTTCTACTTACTAGCTGTGGGACCCTAGGAAAGACAATTAACCTCTGACTACCTCAGTTTTCTTAACTGTAAAATGAAAATAATAATAGCACTTACCTCACAGGGCTGTCTTTGAGGTTCAAATGAGATAATATTTGTAAAGCACTTAGCACAGTGCCTGGCACATAGTAGGTGCTATATAAATGCTTATCCTCTTCTCCCTTTGTTCAGTCATCCTCTGTATCTAGAATGTCCTCCTCCCAACTTCAGCTCTTGTTGATATCTTGTGGACACACCAAGGACCAGCTCTGTCATTACCTCCTCTCTGAAGCATTTCCTGATTTCCCAGACAGAAACATACCTCACTTAGCTGATCTCATAGTTCATTAAATTCCTGAATCTGCATCTCCCCCTACCGGTCTAATAACACCTGGAGGGCAATGATCATGGAGTAATTATCTTTGTCTAGCTGTTAGATAGCTAGAGGTTCGCAAACTTATTTGGCCTACCACCCCCCCTTTAAAAAAAATTACTCAGCACCCCCCTGGAATCTACTTTCTTTAGCCCTTTAACAGTTGGTTTTTTTTTAATTACATTATTTCAAACTACTACCGCCCCTCCCGATCATTCCAGCCCCCTGGGGGCAGTATCACACACTTTGGGAATGTAAGGCTAACACCATGCATTACACATAATAAGAAATTATTAACTTTGGTGAATGAAGAATGAATTCACCAGATCTCATCTGCAAAATTGTCATAATTTTAAAAATGTTCCTGTAGGCAGAGCTAAAAAGCAGATAGAGTTATAGAAACCCAAAATTGGAAGGGTCCCTACCATAACATCTCTTACAACTTTCACTGAGTTGAACTGAATTAGAAAATGCAAACTGAATTGGAATCCCTCTGGTTCTACATGCTTAAGGTTGCATTTTCACATTATTCTTCTGTCCTAGTGAGTAGCACCATGGCTTAATAGAGAGCTGGCCTTCAAGCCAGGAAGACCTGAATTTTAACTCCCCTCTCTGACATATACCGCAAATCACTTACCCCCTCAGTGCCCTGGGTAACTCTCTATAACTCTAGCTTACAGAGAAGGTGCCAATCTCCATTGCTCAAGAGAGTGTCCTTGTCTGACAGTTCCCTATATTCATGAAATCATAGGTCCAGTTCCTATCCTGATGGGAGGATGTTCACTCTGAAGTCATAGTTAGGGAGACTGTGCTGATGATAGATACAGACAAGGGGAGCATCTATTCTCCAGACCTCCTTTTGGCTCTCCTAATACCACTGCACCTCGACTCTTCTTGCTATATGAATTCTTATGCCTTATTCCTTTATTTCTGGGCAAGAGCTGGGCATTCACTGGGGTCCACAGCCATTTTCCCCATTATATGAGAAGAGACATCTTAGTACGGTAGAATAAGTGCTGAATATAGAGTCAGAGGACCTTTGATGGTTGTACTACTTAATACCTGTGTGAACTCAGGCAAATTGCCCCAACTTTTGGAGCTTTGGTTTCCTCATCTGTAAAAAAGAAAGTTGAGCTAATTGTTCCTTCAAGCTCTATTTCTGTCATCCTGTGATTCTAAAGTAGTAATTATACTTGGGACTCTATCAAACACCAATGCCAAAGAATTGAAATGCCGAGTCTCCTGGCACCATAACATTTCAATGTTTATCAGAGTGTGTCAGGAAGTTACCTGCATCATCTGGGTTGACTATGATGAATAAATTGTACAAATTAGAGCTATGCCCCAAGGTCTGGTGAAGTGCATAAAAAGTTGAGTCAGGGAAGTGGGCAGGTCATCCCTCAAAAGATAATTTTGTGTGTGTCCTGGCCAAGTGATAGTGCTCCAAATGGATATCTGTCTGATTATCATGTTTGAAATGGAGCTGTGCAAATGAGGAGCCTAAATGTCCAGTGGCTCCCAATTGCCTTTAGGATCAAATACTGAATGCTATCTGGCATTCAGAGCCCTTCATAACCTAGCTTGCTCCTACCTTTCTAGTCTTCTTACACCTTACTCCCCAACACATACCCTTTGATCCAGTGACACTGGCTTCTTGACTATTGCATGAACAAGACAGGCCACCTGTCATCTCTGGGCATCCTCTCTGTCTTTGTATCCTTATGGCCTACTACAGTATCTGGCCCATAATGATCATTTAAATAAATGCATGCTGATTTGGTTTATTGATTGGTTACTTTCTGAGGATGGATTTAGAAGCCCTAGGTTCAAATCTAGGCTTTCAAAAAAAATTATCTATATAACCTTAGGCAAGTCATTCACTTCTTCTGGCTTTGGTTTCCCTACTGCAAAATATCAAAGTTGGGACTAGATATTTAAGTATCCTTCCAGATAGGAATACTTTGATCACTCATGAAGTACTTACTCAGTACCCACGTGAGCAAGGCACTGTCCTAGCTACTGAAAGGCATAGAAAGAGAAGTAAGACATATTTCTTCAACTAGAATGTTAAGTCCTTGAGGACAGAGGCTAAGGCAGACACATGAATAGTCATAATACAAAGTAGTCCACAGTGCTGTTTGGTGCAGGAAGGGTCCAATAGGAGGAAGAGAGTTTATCCTGTTTGATGAAAATGAGAGTAGGCCTTCTGATGGAGGTAATATTTGAATGGGTCTTCAAGTATAAGAAAGATTTTAGGGAGGAGAGATGAGGAT